TCTTAGCAACTACGAGCATTATTCCAAAGTACAAGTGACCTTTTGACACTTGAGGAGTTTAGTTTTTATTTTTTGTTCCGGGAGGAGTGTCTCGTAGAGTGCGGGGACTACCAAAAAGCGTCCTCATGTTCAAGATTTATAAAAGTTCACTTCGGAGATTCTTCTTCATATCTCTTCTCATTTATCGCTTTCATTTATTGCTTTTCTTTGTATGCATTAGTTATTAGAGCCATGTAGATAGTCATTTAAATACTGCAATGAATAAATAGGGTAGAAACATAATTTTTATGTCTTTATTTTTAAGATTATTTCATCATAAGGAACCCGAAAGGGGCGTTGTGGGGTGTTAACACCTTCCCCACACGTAACTAACTCCCTTACCCAACTTTGGTTGTAATGGCCAAAGTTGGTTTTCTTAAAACCAACGTCTTCTTTTATTTTCCTTTTCCAATGTTTATGGTAAAAACATTGGTGGCGACTCCAGAACCCTCTTACGAAAACCTCGCTCTTAAAGGTAGTTTGGTTATCGGACATCCTAAAAGCGATGGCCACATTTTTACGTTAAACACGATTCATCAAAACTATTGTATCACACCGACCGTTTTTTACGGTAGTGATAATGACATGTCTAAGGTTATTGGTACTAGTGATATGTGCTTGCAAATTAACACGAGAATATACTTGTTGTTGAGAGAAGTTAAACATGCTCCATATGTTTAATTTAATGAATTAACATGAGAATATAATTGTTGTTGTTTAGAGAAGTTAGGCATCTTTATGGCACCAAAAGATTAGTCATATCAATGAAAAAAGGACTCAATAACTAAAAAGAATGTTCTTTCAAGATTGAAAAAGTTGAAGAAGTATTCTCATTACATGGGTGAAAGTAGGCCATATCGTTCAAACATTCTTCCCTTAAAAAATCTAAGTTGCTTTAATTGATGCATTCAAATATTTATCATATAGTTAACGTAAATATTTTAGTCTATACTTTATTTTATATTTATTTATTATTGTTCTAAAAGGTTACAGGTTTATGTTTTGAAGGAAAACAATCAAAGTGTTGGAGAAGTTTAAACAATTTTATGCTTTGATTGAAAGGCAATCAAGCTAGAATCTAAATTGTTTTTGAATTGACAATGATCATGAGCATTATGGATCCTATAATTTTTACTACAACATGGTATTGCAATAAAAAGTCTCCTCCAAAAACTTCTCAATAAAATAGTTGAGTATAGATACTGAATAAGACATTAACTGAGAGAATGATGTATATGCACTTTAAAGATAAATTGTCTAAGTATTTTTTAGGTGATGCAATGCATGTTATTAATCTTAGTTTTATTATTACGTTAGATATTGAGGTCACAAATAGTATTTGGTTTAACAAGAATGTCAAGTATGAGAATTTGAGAGTCTTTGGTTGGTAGATATTTTTGCATGTTTCAAATGATGAATGATCATACTTGGATGTGAAGTAAATATAATCTATCTTCATTGGCTAGGGTTACAAGCTTGTGATAAATTGTTATATGAAATTCATGAAAAATCAAACCATTGAAGTCATTAGTAACGTAAATCAATTTACACCTAAAGGTAGATAATAGCGTTATAGATATTGAACTAGACCAACAACTTATTCAAAATAGAATATTGATGTTCATAATCATGATACATCATTATGAAAATGAGCTAGATGTTCCTATTGATGACAATCATGAAAATGAACATGAAATTATACATAATGAAAAGCTATTATTGAATCACTTCATGCTCAACCTAAGATATCCAACAAAAAGAGACAACAACCTAATAAATATTCTCTTGGTGAATTTACGATCTTGACATATGAGGAAAACCATAATCTTACGAGAAAGGCCATGAAGAGTTACGAAAAGTAAAAGTTTTTGGAAACAATGAAGGATGAGATGAAATCCTTCTATAGTAATTAAACTTTTGATATGGTAAAGTTGTTTAAGGATGAGAGGGTATTGGATGTAGACCCCAAATCTTGTCCGGTCTCAAAATAAATAGCAGAAGACTTAGTTCGAAGATGGGCAAGGCCTAAAGGGTCCCTATGATAGACTAATAGGTCACATATTAGAGTAAGAAAGTCTTTTGTACAGAAAAAATAAGAAATTCCACCTAGAAGGCCAAGACCACCTGTCTCGTTTGGCGAGATCGTCGTCTCACCATTCGCCGATGGTGAGACCGCCATCTCGTTTGGCAAGACGACCTTCTCGCCATTTGTTAAGGGCGAGACCGCCGTCCTGTTTGACGAGATGGCGGTCCGACCTTGTTAGGCGAGACGGCGGTCCCAAGCTGACGGGCGTGAATTCCTATAAAAGGAGGGCGCGACCTCATCCTTTTCACGGCATTCTTCAACTTTCCCTTCTACAACTTTCTCAAATTCTTCTCCTAGGATCCCTCAGAAGCATTTTTGGAGTTTCTTACTATTCTTAGAGGGTGTTCTATAGTGTTGCGAGGAAGAGTGACCAATATTGTAGAGTGGGGGATTGCCAAAAAGCATCATTTACCAAGAGTATTAAATACAAAAGCTTGCTTCGAAGGTTCCTATACTTTCTCTCTTCTTTTACCGCTTTTTTTACATCTATCCGTGCATTAGTCTGTTAGGGCCATGTAGTCAACATTTTAAATTCCGCAAATAAATAAAGGGTAAAAGCGTAATTTTAGAGTTTTTATTTATAAAATAAACGGTCCATGTAGACCCCAAAATCTTGCCGGCCTCAAAATAAGAGCAAAAGACCTCCTATTCGAAGATGGATGAAGCCTAAAAAGCCACTATGAGAGACTATTAGGCCCCATATTAGGATAGGAAGGATTTTTTGCATTAAAATAAGGATTTTTGCCTTCGGAGGTCGAGGCCGTCGTCTCGCTTTTTGGGACCGTCGTCTCGCCATTGCTGCAAGTCGAGACCGCCATCTCGTTTGGCGAGACGGCCGTCTCGCCACTTGCGAATGGCGAGACCCCGTCCGTTTGGCGAGAAGGCCTTCTCGTTTCTAGAAAAGTCGATACCGTTGTCTCGCCAAACAAGACGGCGGTCTCGCCACTTTTACAAGTCGAGACCGTCGTCCCGAATGGCGAGATGGCCGTCTCGACCTTGTTAGACGAGACGGTCGTCTCAACTCGATAGGCGCGAATCCCTATAAATAGTAAGCGCTCCCCCCCCTCATTTCACACAGTTCTTCCACTTTCCCTTCTACACTTTCTTCAAATTCTCTTCCTAGAGTCCCTCCAAAGCATTTTCGGAGTTTCGAGAGTTTTTGAGAGCTTTTTATAGCGTTTCAAGAGAGTTTTCGGCGTTGTAAGAGCGAAGGGTTGCCAAAACGCACCCTATTTTTCAAGAGTATTAATCAAAAGCTTGCCTCGGAGGTTTCTTCACTCTCTCCCTCTCTTTTACTGTCTTTATTTTTGTGATTAAATTGCATAATAGACATTAGGGTCATGTAGTCGTTACTTTAATTCCGTAAATAAAAGGGTAAAAGCGTCTTTTCAAGAGTCTATTCATAAAATAGATGGCCTATCATAGGGAACCCGAAAGGGGCGTCGTAAGGGAACTAACACTTCCCTTACACGTAACTAACTCCCTTACCTAAACTCTGGTTTTAACGACCAAAGTTGGTTTTCGAAAACCAACGCCTTTTTACCCCTTTTTCGATGTTTCTGGTAAAAACATCGGTGATGACTCCATAAGAACCCCTTCAAATTAGTTCTTGGGTTAGCCCGGTTATCGGACAATCCAAGAACACCTTTTCGAAAACCTCGCCTCTAGGTTCAGCCGGTTATCGGACAACCTAAAAGCGTTGTAACATCACCCATAAAAACGCGAAAATGGGAAAGTCGGAACCATCGCGTCGCTCCGACCGCCTCTTTTTACGGTGGCGACGAGTCCATCATAGGGAACCCGAAAGGGGCATCGTAGGGAAGCTAATACATTCCTTGCACATAACTAACTCCCTTACCCAACTCTGATTATAATGACCAAAGTTGGTTTTTTAAACCAACGCCTTCTTTTTCTTCCTTTTCCAATGTTTCCGGATAAAACATTGGTGGCGACTCTAGAACCCTTTTTCAAAAACATCGCCTTTAGGTCCAGCTCAGTTATCGGACAACCTAAAGGTGTTGTATCACACTTTTAAAAACGCAAGTCAAAGTCAGAAATCATCGTATCGCTCCGACCAGCCTCTTTTAACGCGGCGACATTGGATAACGAGTGGATCTATAGGATGAATGATCGAAATACATTTTGTTACCTAAACATATCAAACAAATCTTAACATGAAAAATATTTAGTAACTAGGGAAAATCCTAGATTATATTCTTAGGAGCATTAACAAATTATAATAAACCTAGTTTTCAATTGTGAAAGAGTTATAATAGGGGGATTTGTAAGGTTTTTTGTGTTTAATATCTAAATTAAATAAACAAAAATATATATCTCATTGAAAACAATAAAGGAAAGTAATAAAAATGTGAATTTATGTAATAATAGTGGTTAATTCTTTAATTATCATTTTGTTCCATTGATTTCTAAATCTAAATGTAACTACAAGATAAATCTATAAGAATTACAATTATTCATAACCTAATTAGCTAGATTTAATTGATTCTTAGCATTCAATTGATTTAGAGACACAAATCAACCACATAAACTTAAAATTGATTTATGATATAATTAATCAAACTCAACTCAACAATCTCACCTTCATTAACTCAACAATCTCAATTTCATTAATTATAATGAATTATGAATTGTTAAAGTCATTAAACAATCAAATCTCAATCAATGAATCAACAGTTTATATTAAAAAACTATAAAGCCATTAAAATGCAATAGAAAATGGTAAATAATGTAAATTGCAAGAATTGCCACTCGTGTCTGTTTTGAATTCATGTTTTTTAGTCTCAGCTATAGTAGACTCTTATCTGATAGTATGAGTTGATAGTAGAAGGTTGTCTCCTCTAGGTATCGGATCGACGAAGACCCGACAGCTGTTCATAGGTATCCCTTACTCCACTCCAAGTAAGGGTTCTTTCCTGCATGCACCCCCATCTACATCCAACCGTAACAAGGATCCTAGGCTTCCACTATCCGCACAATCCTATTGAGCCTACACTACAGTAAGAAGTTGGCTTCTTCTATGGTCGGCCCGCCCCTGACTTGCTGGGTTAGGTGGCCGGGTTAGCACCCCCGTCGCCCCTGTACCCGAAACAGATGCGTTGCGCTACCCAGCGCGTAACCTTGTCTCCCCTACTCCTCTTCTGGTTATGCCATTACCAATCGTGGGTAACCCCGGGCCGGCCGCCCCTGACCTAATAAGATAAGAACGATTATCCTTATGACCAAACAGCGATAGTTTCACGATCCCGACCAGCAACTTGTTGGGAGTAGGGGCATCCAAGCTTGCCCAACCTAGACATTGTAACTGAAAGTCCTGCCTACTTGTATGTAGGCTTAGGGTAAAGCAAAGAAAAAAATGATCTAAAGTTGCAAAAATTGAAGATCTTCAATGTATAATACAAAATTAATTGTATACACTAAGAACTAAACAAAAACTAAATAGAATTTAAAAATTAAATCTAAAACTAAATTAAAACTAGAAAAAACTTATGTCTTATGACATTCTAAAATTTATTTATACAACAACAAATACATTAAAATGCACAAGGTCCATACAAAGCCCATAAACAATAAATTGCAAAACTTAAAACTTGATTCTTCAATTATGCAAAAAACTAGTTTGCAACCTCTTTGTGAAGTATATCCTTATTTTGTTATACAATATTTTTGCTTGGTAGAATACTTCATTAAGTAGATTGATCATTCAAGAATATGCTTTTTTTGTCTAATATTTGTTGAGCAAAATGTTTCTTTGTTGAGTGAAGTATTTTTTTATTGAGTAAATATACTTAAAATCAAATATTTAATCTTCTTAGTTTATCATTCTTGCATGTATAAATATTTAGTAAAACATATAATTTAATCAATAAATTGACTAAATATTTATTCAATCATATTTTACTAAAACTATGTTAACACTAAGTAATTAAATAATAATAATAATAAGATAATTTTATGTAAAATGTACAAATATAAACATAGATACAAGTTTATCCCTTGTTGTAGAATTATATATATATATATATATATATATATATATATATATATATATATATAAAGTTTAATATCCATTGAATCAATATGAAACGACATGATTTTCTTAAGAGTGAATATGTGTGTAATAGAAGTGTTCAAAATTGAACCAATCCAAAAATAAAATTGATCAAAATTAAAATTCTTTATATTTTTTTATTGAAAATTTTTAAAATCGATCAGATCAATTTTCGATATGATAGTCAAAAACTAACACAAACCAAATCGAATCAAAATTATCATATATATATATATATATATATATATATATATATATATATATATATATATATATATATATATATATATATATATATATATATATATATATATATTATTACTGAAATGAAAACATAAATGATTATTACTATGAGTGGGTCATTAGTTTCTTATAATTTAGAAGATATATTTGCTATAATTAAAATTAGATGTTGAAGCACATGATAATAAATTAAAACTATAGTTATCACAAATAATTATGCATTATTTTTTTATAATATATTTATTTATTTAATACTTTAATAATAAATCATAAAAATTGTGCAAACCAAATTGTAATATAATTATTTGGTTTAGTTTGATTTTTTTTTTAATTAAAATCAAACCAAATCACACTACAAACACCCTTATACGTGGATGTTAAATCAGATTTAGTTCGATAAATATGAGAAATTGGTCATGCTAAAACAAAAAATTTGTTGTCTAAATTAAATTATACTTATTTTGCTCAGGCCCATTTAGACCATTGTACTATATGGGTTTAGGCCAAACTAACCCGTAGGCTTATCAGGTTGGCTCATTCTATAAATAATAAATATTTTTTAAATAAGAATAAAAGTAATATTATTTTACTAAAAATACCTATGTATTATAAATTAATTTGATAAGGGATTAACTTATTTAAGAGTAAATATAAGAATAAATCTTTAACATTCACTTAGTTAAAGATCTAATAGTTAAGATTAATTACTATTTTAAATTAATAAATTATTAAAAAAAGCGAATGAAGATAATGATGAATAAGTTTTTAACTCTTATTTTATGACTAAATGAATATCATATCTTAATTTATATATATTAAATCATCATATTTAAAATAAAAATTAATTTCATTAATATAATTTAAATTTTTAAAATATATCATTTGTTTTTAATTTTTATTTAAACACTTTTTAATTATTTATTTTAATCTAGATAAGTTTTTTTTTTTAATTTTCAATAAGGGAAAAATTGGTCTATTAGCCCATTAACCTATCATAAGGAGACAAAAAAAGATTATGAGCCATTTGAAAATATATGTCAAATTGAGTTATCACCATTTTTTACTTGGTCCATATGATTGTACCAAGTTGGTTGAGACACGTGTTTTGATCATCCTATCTATATGGTTTAAAGAAAACTAAGATAATGGTATAAAAAAATTGAGTTTTGTATTTGTAAACAAATTATAAGAAGACTACTCTTGACCAATGTGAACATTTCTCACTTATATATGGTTTATCTTGCTCATTTTTACACAATTTAAGACTTTAACTCACATTTGAACTTCAACAATCTCTTTAAGTGTGAGTTTCTTCCGCAATGGTATACTCCTATCAAGTGGAAACATTTTTTTCCTTTGCTTTTACCATTAAAACATTTCTCCCCACTTTGTATCATTATTTACTACAATAGAAGTTTAAGGGATCGTACAAACTTAGATTCATCATTCATGTTTATCGCATGAATTTTTGTAGTTCTTTGAGGAGAAACACAAAAGAGATCTTTTACTAATGGATCATGAGCCTACTATATCCGAGAGTGACATCATCTTCAACTTAAAACCTTAAGACAATAGGTTTGTTATTCTTTTTTTTATATATTGTTCATGTTGCATATTTTTACACAATGTAGGACTCCAACTTACAATTGAGCCATAACAAATCCTTCATCAAGTTTGAGTTTCTTTCACATTAGTACAATTTGATGTTTACTACACACTTATATGAATCCTTACTTAGAAGACATTCAATACTTGTGGTTCTTGGAGGACAATTACGAGGGATGTTTTACCAATGGATCATGAGCATATTATATAAAAGAATTTGATATTATATTTAACCAAAAAAGTAAAGATAATAGGTTTGTGGATCCTTTTAATTACATATTACTCATCTTGTCCATTATTACACAATGTGAGATTCAATTCACATTTGATTTTCCATAGGTAGTATGATGATTTCGTTGTCATGTTAAAGCTATGGTTAGTGTTGGAAAATATATGTCCAAGAATGATAAATTGATAAAACAATTCGGTAAATCATTTATCATAAAAATATGGAAGCTACTAAACAAATTATTATTATAAGAATTAGACAGTGCAAAAAGGAGAAAAAGTTTTGGTTGTCAAAAGAATATTATATTAAAAGATTATTGTGAAGATCCAGGTGGAAAAAGCCAAGATGGTAAATACTCCTTTTCTACTCAACTTAAGTTGAGTTGTAACACAAAGTCCACAAATGAAGATAATAATTTAGATAAGCAAGGAGCTCCTTATGCATATGATGAGTAGTCTAATGTACGTTATGTAAGCATAATACTATATATAGCACATATTGTTTACATAGATATTTAATTTTATTGACATGAAACTTTGTGTATAACGGTGATAAACATACTTTGACAAATACTCAATTTCAAATAAGACATTGATTTTAAGAAGTACATTTCGGGTATTTGATTAATTTTGCATGGGAGCTATGACTTCATAATCTATGTAAAAGGTGTGAATTTTGGTCTCCTACATAGACAAAATTAATTGGCATTACTTAAACATACAAAAAGTAACTTTGAATGAATAAATTCTTGTAAATGGTTTTGTTTAAGAAAAATATCTACTATTTATAAATAGTCATATTGTTATTTAGTTTAGTAAGAATTAAATTTTTAATTCAAAATTTAAACAAATCAATGTAAAATATCATTGAATGTGAGATGTTTTGAATGTTAAATGGTTTAAGTCAACAAGATTCATATTAATTATAATAGTGTTTATATCATTCATATTAATTATCGTAACGTTGATATCATTGTGTTTTTTCGCAAACCTACCAAAATGCATATTTTTTTTAATTTCAATTGGGAGCTTGTCCCCTATCAAATTAAGTTGAATTTTGGACTACGACTATATTTTACGGTTTTCCATCTTCACTATGAACATTGTTGTTTGATTTGTTTTTACTAACTCTGAGTTTACGCACCAGTTGGAGACTCTCTGTATCTTTTATTTACTCTTGTTTTCTTGTCCTGCAATATTTTATTAATATTTCTCACAAATTCTTTTGAAGAAAATTTTACTACGCTACTTATTTACTTTGATATATGAATCATTAATTTGATATGTTCTACCATCAGTTGGTTCTTTAAACATTTTTACTATCATCACCCAACTTGTTTCTTCGAAAGTTTTCACTATCATCCCCGTCATCTTCATAATGTCACATTCATTTTCCCATGTCGTCTATAACAAAAGAAATTGTAAATTCAAATTTTGGGACAGATTCTTTGCATGCAATTTTTAGCATATGCCAATTCAGCATTTATAACTCTTGCAAAACTGGTAAACTAAACAAAAAGATAGATGAGTTCGTTTTACTCTACTCGGTTTTACAATTTTGAAAGAATGAAGAAAATCACTAAACGTAAAAGCAAGAATACATCCTGTGGTGCGAAGAGAATCTTACTTCACTACTACTTAAGTCTTAATGTTTACTTCTTGTTACCAAAAAAACTTTTCAGAACTGATCATCTAACTTAAAAGACCACAAATTTCGAAAGGATGGAACGAATAAATGTTAAATGGACACAAACACACACAACACATTAAACAGTCACAGTCGCCAGAGAAGACTTCTACAACAACATAACCAGGATTCCGAACTAATCTAAGTAAATCATACATGACCATTATACATACACAACCAAAACAACATTATTAATGGAACAGTAAAGGACACAGTTGATTTTTTTTCAATGCAAATTCAAAAGAAAAATACAAGCATTTGGCCAAAACGGTATTAGTACATAGCCACATGAAAGAATTTACATTAAAATGGCAGCCTAACTATTTGCATTTATAATCCAGCAGTGAAAATAAGATGGGGCAAATATGACAATCTCAGAAAGCCTCTCTACCAAGGGTGAGCATTCAAAATTGAGTTCTTTATCCTGCTGTCTGCATATGCTTATCCACAAGGAATATTGTCTCCGTGAGGATTAATCAAAAAACTTACCTCAATGTGTCCTGATATCATGAAGATAGTTTCCAATTTGCTGAGCACCAATATATAGGGCGTCGGCAACAAGAAAGACTCCGATCTATGCCACAAATGTCAAACTTGTGAGTGTCAAGATTAAGAAATAGTATTTAAATGAAGGTCCACAAAAGATAAAATACCAGACGTGCAGAAAACACTAATCTATATCCCCAACCTTCCTTGGCTGCAGCTGCTCTTTGTTGATCAGTCCAACTGGAAATAATTATGAAGTCAGAAATTTGCAACCATATACTAATTTTTTTAATTCATAAAATCACATTTGAAGGCTGCAAATTGTAATCAAAATGATATAAAACTATCATGCATTTATGTCCAACAAACAATGAACATTAGGCTACATAAAAGTCTTCATCGACTCGAGACTAGATCATGACTCAAATCTGTATGGTATTCTCTTGATGTAAAATTTTTTATTGTGATGCAAACAGGAAATTGGGCTACACAATTTTGTGTTTCCATTGCCAGTAAACATTGACAGAGTCATTTATAATGAATTCTAGGCAGTCTGGACCAATGCCGAAGGGAAGCTAAACTTATCTCTTCAGTTTTCTGCACCAATGACGAAGGGAAGCTAAACTTGTGAGTAAGCAGTTTCAATTCTAGCTTAAAGCTTTTATAAAAAACTGGTTATCCTCTGTCAGATAATAAAACATAAAACTTCTCATCATTGAAATTAAAAAAGATAATGGAACTTCAATATGCATCACCTATAATGTAAACTTTTCCAGGTCAATATTTTAAGTCCTGTATAGTGGGGCTTCTACAGAATATAGTACGACAGTTTCCATTTCGAAATTTTGTAAAGTTTATATAATTTATAATATATACGTATAAATTCTCAAAAATGATAAAATTTTCTCAAAATTAATAACATTTATAATTAACAATAAGAAGGCATAGGTCTGTACAAAATATACAAGTAAACACCAATAAAAGTCAAACAAATGTTTCCTATATTGGAATTATCAGTCATCATCTTCTAAATCCAAGTCTTCTTTATCATTTTGACAATTATTACATCTATAGTTTTCCATTTCAGAAATTAAAATCCCAAAAAATAACCCTCTAAAAAAGTCCTAATGTCTCTGTTCTAAGGTATTCTTTGGGATCAACAAATAGCGCCACTATAGAGCCCACTATGGCTGGCTGGCTATTCAGGCTGCTATTTGATCCTTTATAGAGCCCACTATGGTAGGCTATTCAGCCTGTTATTTGATCCGGCCACTATACTAAATCACTCTGCTACAGCAACCCCTGTGGCAGGCAGGGGCGCTTTGCACTACTACACAACAATTGCACGCTATATAAAACCCTGGTCCAAGTCATACATCAATCCATCCATGATAGGGTGATTTTGAACAAAGATTTTGTACGTGGTAAGGATTCACTGTAAAAACATTGCTAACTATATAGTTTATAAAGTAACTTATGTTATCCAATAGATATAATTTGAAATGGACAAGACCTAATAGATTTCATCAATCATATTAGATAGCAAACATTAAGTCGGAAAAAGGTTAGATGAAATAGTCACCCAAGGAATTCTGACACGCCACCAATTCCAGCAAATTTGAGAGGCGCTGGGCCCTCTACAATGAGATCCTGCTCCAAATTAAATTAGGCCAAAAAGGAATGAGCTCACCAGATTAGCCAATTTTCTTTTCCCACACTTGATTAAAGTAAATTGAATACAAATTCCAGAAATTGAATTAGGAAAACATGCCTCTTCTTCAGCAGCTTCAAATCCACCTTGAACCCAAAACAGATTTTTATAGCCAGCATTATACAGTAGTTCACAAGCAGCAAGTGATCTAGCCAGAAAACAAGGTTCAATAAACTACACAAAAACTCTATGGTTTATTTGATACTAATTAAATGATCAGATAGTTTTTTTAATGCACCAGAATTTGAGGAGCCAAATAGGATTAAAAATGCCAGAGGAAGTACCAAAGACATTTTAACTAAACAGACAATCAGAATCAGAAGCAACTAAATTGAGTGTGCAATCAATCAATTGAGCATATGAATCTGACCTCAGTCCCTTCTGGCATGCAACAATCAATTCAGAATCTTTGGGGAACTTTTCTCCAACTTTGGCCAAGAACTGGCTGTTGAAGAGAGGAAAGAAATGAAGCATAAATTAATGTACTTGGAGAAAAAATCAGAAGAGCAAATGATAGTCTATGATACCTGTCATAAGACAGTGTAGGCATGCCACTCCACCAACCTCCTGTTCAACACAACATGAAGTAACATGTAGTACATTTCTAGTGAAATGTAGTTCTCATTTACTTTACAAATTTAAAAAGTCTACCAAAAGAGTTAATAACGAAAGAGTCAGCATGGATTTTTTAATACCCATAACAAAATTTGTGACTTTTCTGGGAACGGTTCCAAAATCTAGTTTATTATCAACATCAAATATTGGAATCCAGGTTGAAGCTCTCACCCATGCCTTCAAAACACATAAAAAGAACAAGCAAAGATCACAAGAATGAAGCGAAGGCAAAAGAGTCAGATTACTTATTTGCAACAGTAAATAATTAGTATTACGAACAAAATTAAATTCATAGAGAAATCCATCGGATGCTTTCTTTACAGCTACCAAGATCAATTACCAACATGCTAATTAGCTTAAATGATGTCTGAGCACAGTAATAACATATTTAAAATGTCAATTTGTTCTACTTATATTCTCCTACTACATTAAATAGCTAAAATATCTGCACAATGCATTGGCTAAAAGGAAAACAAAAGCATCAGCTGAATTCAAAGCCAAACCTTTTTGTATTCATTTGAGGGACGGACATCAAGAAGGGGCTTGCCTGAAAGCTGAACTGCGTACCCAGCTTCCCTTGGGGAAAGAACTTTAACTTTTCCATCTCTGATCTACAAAATCAAGCAAGCAAACCGCATAAAAAATTCTTTGGGTCCACTCCACATGTGACACAACACCATAGTCTAAAAGGGGTTAATCATAGGAGAACAGGACATCTTATCAATTTTCATACTGATTTTAATACTGAGAAATCCCAAACCATGAATACCATACCACTAATAAATTCCTCAATTCACTACAAGAATGAAACAACAAGAAGATTGCGAAAATTCATTTCTCCTTAGTCATTAGTCCATAGGCTTTTTGTTATAAGTTTTACGTTACAGTAGTAGTTTCGCGCAATTCTTAGTACTATGAACTAATGCTAATGCAACTACAATTGTGGTTCTGGTGACGTGGTCGCAGAGACCCAAAAAGCTTGAAATTGTGTGACAGAAGTCATGATTATTAGAGCAAAAGAAAAAAAAACAAGTTGAATGAAATTGAAAAATACCAGAGCCTCCCATCTCTTTCTGGCAGCAGCCATGTCCCTCATTTGCTTCAATTCATAATCCTCACTCTCGACTTGAACTCGAACGACGCTCTTCCTCTGAAAAGAGAGACCCAGTTGTCAACTTTCGAAGTAAGGCCCAGAAAATAAAAGAACGCACAAAATAAACCCATGGGAAAGAAAGAAAAAAAAAGAATGAATACCAAAGCGAGAGTTCTAGTTGTGGAAAAAGTATTGGGTTGTAGGGAAGAAGAGAGTGAAGCATAATTAGAAGAAGCACTCAAAGAAATGGGGTTATTTGTGAGAGTGTTTATGGGAAGAAGGGATAGGGCTTCCATTAGAGCTCAGAAGGACGAAAGAAGGTCCCAATCTTCTAATTCCCTATCCTCTGCACTCTGCACCCTACCCTACCTTCTCGTTACTTGCCTCTTCCATTTCAACCATTTCAACCAAGTTCATTCAAACAGTAATTTCTACTTTTTAAGCTAACACTTTCATAAAATTTAACCCAAGACTATGCATGAAAATCAAAGCTTTAATACATTACAGTAGTATAGATTATTATAATGCCTGGAGCATGATAGTGACGGGTCTTCTTAAAAAAACTACAATAATCATAATTGTAGGATGGCTTATGGGAACTGACAGTGACTTTAACCTAATACTGTTATAAAACAAAAATGTAAATATTTTTTATTAATTTTATAATTTATTTTCATTAGTTGGTTCGAACCCGTTAATCTGTTTGTGGATTCAAACCGAAAATCTGAAGAATTGAACTTCACTAGCCAACGCTACCTCTTTGAAGTCTTCATAATAGTCCAATTTCACACTTGTTAACCGCTTTCTAATTAAATGCTAAATATTCAAAGTCTAAAACTATTTATGCTCCACTTTATCTCTAAAATAAAAATTAATGTTTGATTATTGACCTTAACCCATTAACTTCATCTAATTATATATTTTCGAGTTAACAACTTTAAATAAGCTAATATCAGTTATTAAATTTTTACCAATTCTTCATGATAATATAAATTATTTTTATAATAATAATAATTTTATACCTATACTATTCTATATTATTATACTAAGGATTTTTTTCTATCTGATCTCGTCTACACACACGATCGATCACACATTGTTTTCAAATTTTGTCTTTTCAATATAAATTAATTAATTAGTTAAAAATTATTATCTCTTTTTTTTTACTTCTACCATCATATCTTTCTTATTTAACACTTTAATCACACGTTTTTCTTGATTTTTTCTCAGATATAAATTAATAAATAAAAATAAAATAAAAACTTGTTATAAAATAAATTTCTAAAACATAAAAAAAATGAAATGATAAAAAATAATTATTTTGATTCTTTAAGTATATTTTATCTAAATGTTAATTAATTGACAGTATCGATTTCATAACCATAACTATAAAAATATTAATAAAATGTTTTTATAATCACTTTTTAAAATAAAATATTTTTAATATTTAATGAAATAGTTTATTTTTGAGAATAAAATATTTTTTATATCTATTTGATAGAATGAAACATAATAAATTACGTGAATTTTATGGGTTTTCATTATTTTGTTCGTAAAATATAAATAATAAAAAATTTGACATAATCATCGTAAATTAGAATATTAATTTAATAATGTTTTCATTATATATTATAAAAAATATATAATAAATAATATAAAAAAATAAAGGAATAATTATTTAATTTAATATATTAAAATTTTCATATTGATAAAGGATTATGAAATAAATATATATAGAAAGAAATATAAAAAAAAATATATAAATAATATATTTTTAAAAAATTAGATAAATTTTTTATTAATTTTTTTATTTAACTAGATTTATTTATTATTCTTATATAAAATTTCATCACTGAGAATAAAATTTGTATGATATGAAACTTTTTTTTCTCCTTATTCATTCCTTTTTTTTCGTTTTCTTTTTTCTTTTTTTCTCTTCTCCTTACTGAAATTTGATAAAATCATATTAATTTTTTTAATGTAATAAAATATTCATTTTGATGTTTTTTTCTAATAAATATTTTTTTAAATTACTTAATTTTGACTAATCATTCTTGTTCAACTTAATTATAATTAGATTAAATTATTAAATAATAAAATATATATCTAATATTTTTTTATAACTAGATTAAATTATTAAATAATAAAATACATATTTTACGTTTTTTTATTAGATGAGTAATTGATTTATTATGATAAAATAATTTAAAATTATTTATTTATGACCATTATAAATTAAATTATTTATTATTATCATAATTTTAAATAATTGATTGATTTTGTTAGTTTTAATGTTAATTTTAAAAAATATTTTAAAATGTTTTCAATAAATTTTAATATTATATATTTAATTAAAAGAATAAGTAAAAAGAAAAAAGACAAAAACAGAAAACAATAGGAGGAAAAAGAGTAAAATAATGAGAGAATGAACTAATGTGTGAGAGAGAAAAAAAAATTGTTTCACTTGTTAGTGTAAAGAGGTTGAAAAAAAAAAATTAGACATCGGTCGTCGTTCCCACGGCAATAAAATGCCAATTGATGAGCTGATTGTTAACAGAAGTCCCACTCAGTGTTGTGCCTCAATCTCCCCCATGCTGTGTTAAAACATCTCCAATACAATACCCTTACTCAATATTTTCAATCTAATACTTCCATTTTATACAAATATAATAATGTAAGTATTATGTTATCATTAAATAATTTACATTTAACTTTATTTCAGTAAAAAGAGTATGACAAATTTTAAACAGGTAAATTAAATAATAGTTCTTTAAAAAGAAATAATTATTGTTGTTGAAAGTAAAATCACATAAATACAAACTAAATGATTCGAAAAAAAGCAAGATCCAAGCTTTAGAAGATATTGAAATCAACAATGCGGTTGAACTTTATCACAATACTAAAAACACATGAATATTCTGTAAAGACTCTCTTATATGTAAGTAAAAATATAAAATAATAAATTTAGTGTCTATTATATCTCTATATCATTTAATTTATAATAATCTTACTAAAATATGAATAAATAATAATTAATATCTATTTAAATATTAATTATTTTTTAATACTTTTAATATATAATATATAATAAATAATTAATACAAAAATCATTTATTTTAATTAGAATGTTTGATTTTAAAGCGTTTACGATACTGGTCTCAAATAACTTATAAGTAGAGATAAAAAGTATTTTATATACATCGAATTGTCTTTTAAAGATAATAACGAGGATAAACGAGAGTTATAAAATAAATAATATCTTAAACATAATTGATGTCCATCATGAGATTTCGGTAAAATAATTGTCATTCCATGGTTTTAACTCGAAGACAAAAAATATCCAATTTGAACGACGATATGAATTTTATTATTGTCTTCAACATTCTCAAAAATCATATGAACAAATGCTAACAAAAAAATTAGGAGGAGATAATCTACAAGAACATAATGACGCTAAACTTTTCTAATAGAAGACTTTGAGTTAGTTCGGAAATAATACTAGACAAAGCTCAAAACTTTACGAAATAAGTTTAAGGTCCTCGTTAAACCGTCTTAGACGAGTAGACAAAACATGTAATTGAAGATATCGCAATACAGGTCAATGAGCCTTTTTAGACAAAATGTCCCACTAAGTCAAGTAAGAAGGAGTCACTTAAGGAAGAATGTTAAATACAAGCATACTAATGATCACCAATTAATTCCAAGAATCTTGTAAACCCTTTCCCAGTTAATTATAAACTTTTTTTTTCATGTTAGAGAAGTATAATGGCTCGATAGATCCAAAAGAACATTTAGTTATGCATACAATACGGGAAAATTTGTATATTACTAATGGAGTAGTCTTGTGTTGAGTCTTTCCTACTATAAGATCAGTGGCGGATCTTGATCATTGATCTTGGGGACCAAATAATATATTATTAATAAATAATAAATAAATATAAAAGAAAGAAGATGAAAGGGTGAAAGGATAAAATTGTAGATATATACTTAAATATATTAAATGATCGTTAAGTTTGAGGGGACAAAATCATAAATTATATGAGAGTTACAAAACTAAGGAGGAATCTGTGAAGATAAAGCGTAAATAAACAAGTAAACATATTAAATGTTCATTAAGTTTAGGGTCAAAATCATAAATTACATGGGAGTTACAAAACTTTAGAAGGTCACGACCCTCCTCAACTCCCAAGAAGGTCTCATCATCGATATCATATGGTGCATCTGTATTTCTTTTAAAGGAAAATACTTTCAATAATCTTAAAGTTGTAATTTATAATATAATGTATTGATCTTTTCAATTGAACCACATATTTTCTTATTGACTTCGACCATCTCAATAAGAATATTTAACGTTTATTATGAAATTGAGAGTCAAATCTTATACTCGTTTATATCACTTAATTCTTAATTAAATGTTATATTTTGATACATTTATAAGTCTCACCCCACTTAAAAAATATAGACTATTTTCTCTCAAATCATCAATTATCTCAACTCATCAAGAGCACTTAAATGTAGAAATTAAATCCCATCATAAAATATATATATATATATATATATATATATATATATATATATATATATATATATATATATATATATATATATATATATATATATATAATACCGAGACTTTAAACGAAACACCAATTTAATTAGACCGAAAACAACTATCACTTAAAATCAGTAATTCAACTTTTTGTAACGGTGGATATAATTTTATACATAATTATTAACGATTCCGTGTGAGATCTGATTATGTAAATCTAAAACCAGCTAAAGTAAGTGTTCTTTTAAGAAAAACATGGATAACAAAGCTACTTCCTTTCAAAAAGTTCATATCATATTTTATGCATTTCAATTTTTATTCACCTAACTTTTTTTATATCCAAACTTTACAATGACGTGTGACTTTTCGATAATACGATATACCTTCCTGTCAAAATAATAATCATTATGTGATTGCTTAAATTGAAATTAATAAAATTTCCTTTTTATGAACAAGATTTTGATACAAGTACCACTAAAATCCTCTCCTTAAACAAGTTCTTATATTTAAATTTTATGAAAAGAAGTGATTACAAGTTAATGTAATCTTAAATAAATAATCTTGATATGACATAGATTAAAATGGGCAATGTATAAAAGCAATATGTATTTTGTTTAAAAAAATATTAAAAACAATTAATTTTTAATTTATTCTCTTAGATTATAATTACTAATTCTAAAAATTAAAATACTAAATATCTTTATTATAAAACTGGTACAAAAATATCTATATTATCATCAACAACCCATTCTTATAATACAAAAGACAATTACAATAAAATAAATTATATACACGATAAATCTATATTATTCATAAAAGAGATTGAGTTGTATAATTTTTTTATATATAATTCTTTTTTATTTTACTTTTTATATTATATTTTTTTATTTTCTTTTCAATATTTATATTTAAATTATAATTTTATCTTTAATATTTTGATAGTAATAGTTTTATAACCGTAGTTTTTAATTATTTTTTAAAATTAAAGTTTATTTTTAAAACCGATCGGTTCATAAAAAAGTATTAATTTTGAGACCAAGCAAAGTTGTTTGTCATGAAGGAGAGGTAGGACAACCAAGCACCAAACAGGTTATATCTAGCAAAAGTGGGTGAAGTGAGAAAGAAAAAAAAGGGAGAGAGAAACTTCGAGGAAACATCCTTCACCGTTCATCACTATCAATCCAACAACAAAAACATATCCATTCCAATCACTGCCACGCTGATACTGACACTTCCATTCTCCACCTTAATGCCCTTCAACTCCCACTGCTTCACCCTCTCTCCCCTCGAAGGTATCATTTTCTGTACACGTTTTCCTTTCAATTTATCATGTGGGGTGTTGTTAACTTTGCAAAGTAGGGTTCTTTTTTGAAATTAGTATGAATTTGGAGAAAATTAAAACAAAGAAAGAATAATGGGTCTGGTAGGAGTTTTGAAACTGAGTGCACTAAAATGCAGATTAGAAGAAAAAAGTTAACTGTTTTTGTCAAGAATATCTTGAAGAAGTACAGTTCTGAGGGATTTGATTTGAATGCTTAAATGGGGATGCTGGGTTTCTTTAGGATAAAGAACTTATGGGTGGATCAATTTCAAAACGAAGGAGTTCTAGGCGACGTTCTTCCTCAAATTTTTTTCCTCGGTATCAATCACCTTATCTGCCACAAAGCCAAGATCAAGGGCCTGTGGGACATTACGGATATTCATCTCAAAGCACTGGTGGTGATCGTGCTGCAGAACAAGGAAAGAGATCCGATGGGAAGTATTCAAGGATAGGTGATAATTATAAGAACTTGTACCAGGTAATCTTTTTATGCTCCTTCATTCTCAATGTATGAAATGGCTTACATGAAGAATAGTTTGAGGCTTGGGTGTGCATGGATTGTGAGAATCTGTTCCAGGGTTTAGGCTGAATGCATGCAATGCAACTGTCCTTGTATTCTGAATTTAAGCTCGTAGTTTTGAGAAACAAGAGCCTATTTCAGTGCAGGTCTTGAATCGTTTAGAATAAATTGTAACTAACTTTTTGAAATTATTATGTTGACACTGTCATTGTTCATGCCATTGTTCTAGCTGAGAATGTAAATGTTAGATTATTATGCTGACTTCTGGTACTACCCCAGTAATCATATTGAATTCTCATATTGAAATGACATTCTGAAGTAGTTTTTCATATTTTAAGGTAACTGAAGCTCTGTCAAATGCTGGCTTAGAATCTTCCAATCTCATTGTTGGTATTGATTTTACAAAGAGCAATGAGTGGACAGGTTTTTCCCTTGTCGACTAACCACCTTCATCTCCCCTCCTTTGTAATTGTATTAACATGCATAACTTTACTCTGTATTAGGTGCAAGGTCATTTCAAAGGAGATGCCTGCATCACATTGGTCATGAACAAAATCCGTACGAGCAAGCTATATCTATCATTGGGAAAACATTATCTTCCTTTGACGAGGATAACTTAATTCCCTGTTTTGGTTTTGGAGATGGTAACATAAGAACCATTGTTATGAATTACATTCATCATTCTACTATAATGTCCCGATGAGTTATATTGTGTTTGGATTTTCATACTGGCAGCATCAACACATGATCAAGATGTTTTTAGCTTCTATCCTGATGAGAGATTTTGTCAAGGATTTGAAGAAGTGTTGAAACGATACAGGGAATTGCTCCCTCAGTTGAAGCTTGCAGGTATTGGAACATTGGTCAAACTTCATTCCCTTTTTTGTTACTGTATTTGTTATCAGCTCTTTGCTTATGCTATTTTTGCCTCTAACTCATGGCAGGACCAACATCATTTGCCCCAGTCATTGAGATGGCAATCACCATAGTCGAGCAAAGTGGAGGCCAATACCATGTCTTAGTGATTATAGCCGATGGGCAGGTTGAGGATTACTTGAATTGAATTGGAAAAATATTTTTATTATTAAGTGTATCTTGAGATCAAATAATCAAATTTTACACCAAAAAGTGTCCACATTTGCACGGGAATTTTTTATATAGATGTTCTTCCCTTTTCATGGGGTGAGGCTGTATGTTTATTGTTGAACATCTAGACCTTCCTTAAATATTACATACCTTGACACTTGTCCATATTTAAGTAACCAAGTGAATGCAACATTTGTAGTAGTCAATGGTGGAGCTAGAGAACTATATATTAAGGGGCTAAATAAAAGACAAAAATCAGGCTTTGGTTATATAAAAGGGAATTGCATTTAAGTTTGTTATTTCCCTCTCCATGGCATGTAGTACCTTTTCCCCTAGTGGCAATAACTAGTAACCAGGAAAGCAGTATTTATTTCAAACACAAGGTTAGATTATGGATACATTGGATGCTTTTATGTTAAGCATTGTTTTCTTAGCTCTTCAAGTCTATGGTTTAGGCGTAAAATTTGGTGGTTAATTGTTAAATGAAATTGAAATCTAAATAAGAATCAGCTGTAGTTTTCGTATGGAACTATCAAGAATCTTAGAGATGATACATACTGACATGGTGTGATATTGTTTGTCATTGGTTATCGTCTAGCATTAGGAGACTAGGTATGTTAAATGAATTCATGTGGAATATTGTCAACTTGTTGCAGGTGACGAGAAGTGTTGACACTGAGCATGGCCAGTTGAGTTCACAAGAAAAGAAAACTGTAGAAGCTATTGTGAAAGCTAGGTAACTAGTTGTCTGTGTTCCTTTAATCGTTTTCATGGTTATAAGATTTCTAAATTGTGATTATTCTCATCATAAAAAATGTTTATTACCAGTGAATATCCCTTGTCAATCATATTAGTTGGAGTTGGAGATGGGCCGTGGGATATGATGAAACAATTTGATGATAACATCCCTGCTCGAGCGTTTGATAATTTCCAGGCATGTATCTTCTGTTAAAAATTGTCAGTTCTGCTGTTTCTTTAAAACATGGTTTGTCTATGCTCTCAATATTGACAAACTTGCTTTTTCTTTTATTTTATTTTTTTGTCTTCTGTAGTTTGTGAATTTCACAGAAATAATGTCAAAGAACATGGATCAGTCCAGAAAGGAAACCGAATTTGCACTCGCAGCCTTGATGGAAATACCCTCCCAGTACAAGGCAACACTAGAGCTTAATATATTGGGGTAACAAATGTTGAATTCTTTTCTTCATAGGCTTTGTTGCATTAAATATACTATCTGTTTATGAATCCATCTACTAAGCTTTATAAATGTTCAAATAGTGCTCGTAGAGGGAAAGAGATAGACAGGGTTCCTCTGCCACCACCTCTATATGGTGCATCATCTTTCAATTCCCCCAAAACTTCCCGTCAAAACAGTTTTTGTCCCGAGTGCACCATCTAGCGGACATGATGTTAGCACGAACCCTCCTGCAACTTCTGCTTCCGCTTCGATAATCAGGTACCTCCACTCTTTCTCTTGTTATTGGTTTTTCCCTCTTTAGTTTGAGGTCACTACAAGTAGAATCAATTGAAAAACATAAAATTCATTCTATAATTTTTATCATATTATTTTTGTACACGAGATACTATGATCTTATAGTATTTTACTCCAATAAATCGGGACTAAATAAAGGAAGTTTTGATTATACAATATTTTGTACCGCTATACAAACCTATAATTTAGCTAATTAAATATTTTCATCCCAACACTCCCCCTCAAGTTTGTAAATGGATGTCATACATTCCCAACTTGTCCAATAATCTCCTAAAAATCTTACTTGTCACGATTTTGGTAAGAATGTTTGCCAGCTGATCTTCGGATCGAATATTTGGCAATTCTAGAATATTTTTATTAAGTTTTTCCTTGATGACAAATCTATCAACCTCCACATGTTTCATTCGATCATGTTGGACAGGGTTGTGAGCAATGTCGCGCGTAGCTTTATTATCACAATACAAGCTGAATGGGACGTGTATGTGCATAACCTAAATCCTGGAGAAGTAGTCTCGAGCAACAAACCTTTACAAAGTCTAAGAACCATTTCTCTAAGTTCAGCTCACTGACTCGGATCTAGCTACAACTTTCTGCTTCTTACTTTTCCATGTGACAAGATTATCTCTTACAAATGTAAAGTATCCGAGAGGTTGATCTTCTATCATCAAGAGCACTTTCCCAATCTGCATCAGTATAAACAATCACATCCTTATAGTTTAAGTTCTTCTTGAACATAACTCCTTTTTCAGAAGTAGCTTTTATGTACCTTAAAATCCGTATAACAAGCATCCATGTGTTTTTCACCTGGATTGTGCATGAACCGGCTAACCACACTAAGAACATAAGCTAAATCCAGCGTAGTGTGTGAGAGATACATCAATCTCCCTACAAGTCTATGATATCTTCCCTTGTTAGTTGGAGTTTGATCTTCTTCAATGCACAACTTCAATCCCTCTTCAATTGGAGAATTTGTTGGTTTGCATGTTGTCATTCTAGTTTCTTTCAGTAAATCCAATGCATACTTTTGTTGTGAGAGAAAAATACCTGACTTTGATCTTCAAACCTCAATTCCAAGAAAATATTTCAAAGGACCAAGATCCTTCATCTCGTATTCTTTTGCCAAGTACACTTTCAATGCCTTGCGTTTCTCTAGATCGTTTCCCGTAACTATCATGTTATCAACATAGATAATAAGAATTGTAATCTTTTTTTCCTTTTTTTTTAGAAACAAGGTATGATCTTGGTTGCTCTGATGATATCCAAAGCAAGCATTGACTTGGTGAATCTACCAAACCATGCTCGTGGCGATTGTTTTAGTCCATACAATGACTTCTTCAACTTGCATACCTTCTTGCTATGTGTATTCGGGATCCTACATCCTTCTGGTAGCTCCATATAAACTGCTTCAGACAATTCCCTGTGTAAGAAGACATTTTTTACGTCAAATTGTTGTAAGGACCAATCAAGGTTTACAGCTAGAGATAACAATACTCGAACTGTACTAATTTTGACGACGGAGCAAACGTTTCGATGTAATCTATTTCATATGCTTGTGTGTACTCCTTTGCCACTAACCTAGCTTTGAATCTCTCAATTGTGTCATCTCGCATTAAATTTCACAGTGTACACCCAAGAACATCCTATCGCTTTCTTTCCAATTGGACAATCTACTAATTCTCATGTTTTATTTCTTTGCAAGGATCTCATCTCCTCATTCATAGCATCCTTCCATCTGGAGTTAGCTAAAACTTCCTGCACACTGTTAGGAATAGACACAATAGATAATTGACTTATAAATGCGATATTTGAGTTAGACAAATTCTGGTTACAAACATAATTACTCATAGGGTATCTTGTCTTATTGGTGGGATCAGGATCATAAGTAGGCTTAGGGATACCTCTAGTGACACGATCTAATAAAATTCTTTTTTCTGTATTAGGTTATTAAGGGGAAGATTGGTGTGGTATATCATCAACATAACAAGCAAATTTTCGATTTCGACATGCTCAAAATCTTCCTCATTATGTGGTTGTTGATCATAATATTGTTGTATACTTTCATCATCTCCTGATACAATTTTGTAACTTTTTTTCTCCAATCTAACCTCAATATCAATTTTTTGAGGAACAAAAGTTTGAACTTCATCATAATTCTCTCCCTGAATTTCAGACTCGAGGGAGGTTTTATGAAAAACTACATCTATAGTAGTAAACATTTGCTTGATTTGTGGATTGTAGCACCGATATCTTTTCTGGTGATCCGCATAGCCAAGGAACACATACCTTTCAGCTCTAGGTGACAACTTACTTCTTTGATGCTTGTGTAAGTGAACATAAGCAACACAACCAAAAACTCTATGAGTTAGTTCAACAATTTTAGGATGTTGTAAGTGATTGAAGAGGTGTTTTATACTCAAGAGACCTGGATGGTGTTCGGTTGATAGTGTATACTGCATATGTGAGAGTTTCTCCCCAATATATTGCCTGGCATGTGAGCTCTAATCGGTGCAACTCGGACCACCTCCAATAGATGACGGTTCTTTCGTTCCGCCACCCCATTCCGTTGTGGAGTATTTGGACAAGATATCCGATGAACAATTCCTTTGACTACTAAAAAATGTTGAAGTTCGATTGCATATATCCTCCTCCGTTGTCACCTGCACAATATTTGAACTTGTGCTTTGTACTTGGGTCTCAATCATTTTGCGAGAATTTCTAAAATAGTCCTCTAACTTCACTTTTAGACTTCATCAAACATAACAAAGTCATTCGACTACAATAATCAATAAACGTTACAAACCACGTTGAGCTATCCAACATTGTAACCTTAGATGAACCCCATACATCGAAGTGAATGATCATAAAAGAAAGAAAACTTTTATTTGAAATTAAAGGAAAATATGTTCTATGACTCTTTGCAAGCTCACAAACATCACAATAAAAAGTTGAAGTGTCTACTTGGTCAAATACATTTGGAAATAATTTTTTTATGTAACCAAAAGATGCATGTCCTAGACGTTTATGCCATAACTAAATATTCTCGTCTTTTCTTACTTCTTGAGACCCTTGTGTTGCTAGCACTTGACCAAGTCTCTTTGAATCTTTTTCGTTAGGTCCAGGTAATACAACCTTCCTCGCTTAATACCACAACCAATCATCTTCCTCGTCTGAATGTCCTTAAAAACACAAGAGTCAGACCCAAAAATTACAACACATAAAAGAGCTTTGGTTATTTGCGAGACTGATAAGAGGTTATATTTAAGAGAAAAAACAACAAGGACAGTATCAAGATTCAAATTATTTGAAATAGAGACAGTTCCTTCTTCAATAATAGTGGATTTACTACCATTTGCTGTGGAAATACTTTTTTGTGAAGAAGGTTTAAGATTTTTAATCTGTCTAACATCAAAAGTCACATTATCAGAACATGCAGAGTCAATTATCCATATATTATTCAGAACGGTAGATGTGCTTATTAAAGCCTTACCATTGGAATCATCACTACCTGTGACGCAAGCATCGTGTCTTTGTCGTCCTCTTTGTCAATGACAGTTACAGCAGCAGCAGTTTGATTTCTTTTTGAATTCTTCTTCGATGTTCGACTGTGATCCCACCACTCGGGGTATCCTATGATTTTATAGTATCGTTCCTTGGTGTGTTCATCCTTATTACATTGAGTACACTTGTAGTTACCTTTTTCAAAATCTTTTGATTGCTTCAATTTACTGTGATGATTTGCTGGCTGCTTCTTTGTCATCATAGTTGTGGAATCAGAAATCATATCTTTTGTTTTCAACGTTGTTCGTCGAACTCGTCTCTCTTCGAATAATGCATAACATTCTTCTAAATCGGGTGTCTTTCTTGCGCAAGATTTTTCCACGAACTTGCTCAAAATCATCATCTAGTCCAACAAGGAATATATGCACCCTTAATCTTTCAATGGACTTCGGTATGACTTCACATCATCGGGGTCCTTCCCGACTACTTTGTCCCGATGGTCTAATTCCCTAAAAATCTCAACCAACTTCCCATAATATTCCGTTAAGGTTCTATTATTTTGTTTTGCAGTGAATACCCTTTGATTCAGGGCAAACACCTGTACCTCATCACATCCATCATAAAATGCCTTTGACAAAGCATTCCAAATATCGAGGGCAGTGGGTAAGCGAAGATACCTTTTCATGATTTCTGACTTCATGGACATCAATAGCCATCTTTTCATTTTTTGGTTTTCAGCATATTATTTTTCATATCCCTCATCGTTCTCTGTTTGAGGTTTCACCTTCCCACGGATGTAGGACGATTTTTTCCTCTCTACATCTCCATTAGTTGTGACTATACGTCATAATTGGATTCTTTTAAGATGATGCATACGTTGAAGACACCTTCGATTGAATCACCATTGGAATTAGTTTTCCGCCATCTCTCCAGCTTAAGATCTCCAAGGATTTAGAAAGAAAAAGAAAAAAAATTATAAGTTGTGGTACCAAATTGAAAAATATAGAATTCATTCTATAATTTTTATTCAAATTATTTTTGTACACAAATATTATGATTTTATAGTATTTTACTCCAACAAATTAGGACTAAACAAAGGAAATTCTGATTATACAATATTTTATACCGTTATATAAATCTATTATTTAGCTAATCAAATATCTTTATCCTAATAGAATCTACACAACTAAAGTGTATTTTGTTGTTCACATTGGCACTCAAAAGTAAGTTGGCATATACATGACTTGATGCACACTCAAATTCTCAAGAAAAAACTACTGTTATGTGATCCTTGTAGGTTTGTCCCATTTGCCTCACCGATCCTAAGGATATGGCCTTTGGTTGCGGACATCAAGTAAGTAATCCAGACAATTAACTTTTAATCTCTGACATATTTACATTAGAGATGATTGAACGCCTATTACTATTAGTATTAGTTTTATATGAGCCATTTTTATTAATTTGCAGACATGCTGTGAGTGCGGACAAGATCTTGAGTTATGCCCCATTTGCAGGAGTACCATTGATACTAGAATAAAACTTTATTAAATGATCTCTTAAATCTTGTCCATGATTTTTCATGTTGAGGTATGAAACCGGTTTTCTGCAAATTTAACGGTGAAGGGAAAGGAGGCTGAGTCGAAACAATTTGCTTAGTAGCTTCGCATTGTACATATTTTTGGTATTTATTTATTTAAGTCTATGCTTTGAGCGGATTTTGTACTTGAGTTGGATTTGCTTTGTCACTATATTCATTTTATGCAATTCATCAATATAATGTTTCATACTTGTAGATTATGTGGCATCTTTCATGGTTTAGCGTCTCTTGTTTGTTCCATTGAGTTAATTTCTCACACCATTATGATGGGAACGGCCTGGGTCGTGTCTTTTTCAGCATGATTGAATCCTTAATATTCACTTGTGAACCACGTTGCACTTGTAATTATAACGTTGGGAGTGTCGACGATGGCACAACGAGTTAGACTTTATGGGCATTCGATAATTAAAAAGAACGTTGACCATTACCAGTCCAAGAACCTATTTGCGGTTTTATTTTACTTTTGTGGGCCCTGATCTTGGAATTTTTTGGACTATATTTGCCTCTTGTTTGGCATAAGCCACATCTCTAGAAGATTATATATATATATATATATATATATATATATATATATATATATATATATATATATATATATAAAGTTATACTATTTTAACTGTATAAAAGAAACTATATTTTTAATTCAAATTTAACCTAATCTGTCTTTCATTTTATTCTTATCTTTTGGAAAAAATTAAAAAAATAAGTGCATGCCCGCTAACTACATACATAGAAACACATAGGTCTCTTTCATCAAAAGAAACCTGCTATAGAGTGACGTAACATCCATTCTAAAATGATATAAAATATAACTGAGATACCCTTTTCTTGATACTAAAAGAACGATTACTATATCCTCCCAAAAAAATAGCACATTGAAAGATTGTGAGGCAAACCAAAGAGACAGAAAAACTTGTATTGTTTTAAGGTGAATACCATCCTGCATGAGTCCGAGACAATTGGATCCAAACATCTCAAAATGTTATTATAAGATCTACTGAAATTTAGCCAAAATGATTGCACCATTTCAAGTGCATGAGTGCCTAGTAAGTCGGCTTCAAGCAAAACGTAGTGCTACAAAAGGACTCTCCCTTCGAGTCTAATATCCATCACCTTCAACATGTTATTCCTATCTTGCAGTAAAATCATGATCACTATCTTATTTTTCCTGGTTTGTTTTGGATTCAGCGATGGTGCCAATGTGAGACCCTCTGAGGGGAGGAGAGGGCAGTGGCAACTGCTCCTTAACAACACCGGCGTTGTTGGCATGCATGTGGCTTTAACCTACAAAAACACAGTCATTATTTTTGATCAAACTGGAGCTGGCCCATCTCGTTACCAACTTCGCAGACGCTTCAGTGGAAGCACATGCACCAGAAGCAACCATGATAGGATGGACTCCACGTGCTATGCTCATTCTGTAGAGTATGACATTAGTACCAACAAAGTGAGGCCTCTGAGGCTTGACACTGATCCTTGGTGCTCCTCTGGTTCATTCCTAAGCAATGGTACTCTTTTACAAACAGGTGGTAATGAAAAAGGTACCAGAAGGATCAGACAATTTAGGCCCTGTGAGAATGGCCAATGTGACTGGCTGCAATCAAAGAAAACACTATCTGATAAGAGGTGGTATGCTTCTAGTCAGTTACTACCAGAACATGATAGGGTGGTTGTTGTTGGCGGAAAAAGAGCTTTCACATATGAATTTGTACCAAAAATTAGTCCCGGAGAAAATTTCTTTGACCTTCCATTCTTGCACCAAACTAATGACAATAATGAAGGAGGGAACAACCTATATCCCTTCCTTCACCTTTCATCAGATGGAAACTTGTTTGTTTTCGCCAACCGCGATTCCATCCTACTCAACTTGAGAAGAAACAAAGTGATCAAAACCTTCCCTCGGATTCCAGGAGAAGGGTCAAGAAACTATCCAAGCTCAGGCTCATCTGTGATACTCCCACTGGACCATAGAGACAACTTCCAAAAGGTGGAAGTTATGGTTTGTGGAGGTTCATCTACTGGAGCCTTTACAGCTGCTGCTAAGGGACGATTCTTGGAAGGGTTAAGATCATGTGGAAGAATGGTGATCACAGGAAACAATCACAAGTGGGATATGGAGAACATGCCCAAGCCACGTCTCCTACATGACATGCTTATTCTCCCTAAAGGTGACATCCTAATTATAAATGGGGCTGAACATGGGTGTGCAGGATATGACAATGCTAGAAATGCTTCTCTTGAACCTTATCTCTATAGCCCCAACAGAAGACTTGGAGCAAGGTTTACGGTCCTTATGTCCACCAAGATAGCCAGAATGTATCACTCATCAGCAGCTCTTCTTCCTGATGGGAGAGTCTTGGTTGCGGGTAGTAACCCTCATGGGAGGTACATTTTTCACAATGTGGCATTCCCAACTGAGCTAAGACTTCAAGCATTTGTTCCACACTATATGGAAAGGAGGTATCATAACATGAGGCCTAGTAACTTGACCATAGAATATGGTGGTGGCAGCCATGCAATTGAGTATGGGAAAGAGTTTAGAGTTAGGTTCTTCCTAGAGAGGAAGCCTAGCAACGAGATGGAGTTCAGTGCCTATGCACCACCATTTACCACTCATTCCCTTGCCATGAATCAGAGGATGCTGAAGCTGAGGTGCAAGAGCTTGGTGAGAAATGGTGATAGGTGGGTGGTTGCAGTCTTGGAAGCCCCACCATCTTCCCTTGTTGCACCTTCTGGTTACTACATGCTCACGGTTGTCAATGGTGGAATCTCAAGCATGTCTGAGTGGGTTCAGTTTGGACACGCCTAGGCTTGTCTTGTCTTTGTTCAATAATTCACTTCCAGAGTAGTAATTAAGGAAGAAATTTTCTTATAGGAAGACACCTGAAAGGAATGCTAATTTATGTAACAAAAAATAAAAAATATTTAAATCTACCTGGATTAGAAGTTCCTAGATCAAATTGTAACTCAGAAAAAAAATTGAAGGTTATATGAAGAGTGGGTATGTCGTAGACTTATACTTTCTTTTTAAACACTTTATTTGACAAGGTTATATTATACCAGAGTTTTTCCTGAATGATGTCTTCCTCTTTAATTCAAAAATTTATTCCTATATGCAATCACAAAGTCACAAACCATGTTAGGAAGCTAAGAGCTAGACTACTGCTATACTAAAAGTCTACCAATAAGAGTTAAAAGTAAATATAAATAACATTCATATTTTTGGTTGATTATGATATCTCAACACGGAGTACAACTTATAATTTAATTATTATCAATAATAACCATACAAATGTCCCAATCTAATTTTAGAAAATTTTAAATAAAAATTAAATAATAGTAAAAATAATATCTGAGTTAATATATGCATATATGGAGTAGCTTATTTTTCTCATTTCAGCTTTTTAGAAAGAAAAAGATAAACTATTTAAAAAAATCAGTTTTTTAGTAAGAAAAGAGAAATAATAAAAAAATAAATTTTTGAAGACTAAATTAAGAAAATTAATTTAATCATATTGAAATGAGTTATAAAGTTTAATTACTTATTTTGATCTCATAACGAATTAATTTTTATGAATTTAATCTATGTTAAAAATGATAGATTGATGTACCAGATCGTCTCAAGATAGCTGTTGTAGTTTTAATTTGTCACTTCACGATGTCTCATTTAATCCATGAATTTAATATATTTAAGCGTAGAATAAACTAATTCCTTCCTAAAAAATATTTAGATATTAAATTAAAATAAAAAATTATAATTATAAATATTATATTTTTTTATGTTATTGAAATATATAAATATTAATTAATTAAATATAAACGATTGATTATAATTGAATATTTTAATATTAAATATATAATTTTCTTAATTATTTAATAAAATATTAATTAATAAATAAATATTTATATAATTAAAATTATAGTTGTAATATATATATATATATATATATATATATATATATATATATATATAATTAGCAAGTTGGCCAATTAATACTATGTCCCGATCTAACATCAAAGTTAGTGAGACGATTGATTTTTTTAAATAATATAAGATATAAAGCAGTGATAAATGAATCCAAATTGATAAAACTTGAGGAAAAAAAAATTTAGATAGATACTAATTTTAACAATGAGATATACCTTTATATTCTGGAGATATATATAGTTGCCTCACTCACCAGTATTTGACTTTAAAGTTTGTAATCCAAGGAGATTCTGGCGGATGAAACTGCCACAGTTTTGCGAACATGATCCGCTTCACACGTTTTAGTTTCTACAAATATTTTTTTAATGTCTACAATATTATTATATTAGTTAATATGAACTGCAACAGATGAAAACTGATCTAGTAGTTTCTAGTTGCAACTAAATTCGAAGCAAATCATTATTAAATAAAATTAAAAATATATTTCATTTCTGTAGATTAAGCTGACTCATCCTTGACGAGGCACTGATTCGGTGAAAGCAGAGTTGTAAAGAACCTGGCAGTTGCAACTTGTGGCAATTTGAAGTTTCCACGTTCAAGCTGTGCCTATCCGTGAAACAGAACATGTCTGAAATGAATAAAAAGAAAACCACCACCAATTTACTATACATTGTTGCCAAACCTTGCTACTCCAAGTTCCAACCTCATTCTATCACGCACTCTCAAACTCTTCATCGTTCTGTTACTTTTTATCAAGTTATCACTCCTCTTTAACCTTTCTGTGCGAATTTATGACTGTCAGGGTGAAAGACGGGCGCTGTACGGTGAGGGGCAAGGTCGTTTTGTCCCATGTCCCCGGAAACATCGTTGTTTCTCCGGTTGGAACAGAGTCCGCTTTCTTGGGTGCAACTTCAACCGTTTCAAGTTCTCGTCATGTTTTCGATCTTGGCGTTCTTCAGTGAGTCTCTGATATTATTCGCCTTTCTCTCTGCTTAGCTTTCTCACGTTCACCAAGAAGCTTCTAGATTTGAGTCAAACGTATATGGATATGTTGACGGGGTTTTGCTCCTTGTTAAGTGTTATTAATTTTCGTAATTTTATAAACTAAGTAAAGTCTGTATTTACCAAAAGGAGCATATAACCTGTAGAATTAAAATTTTTACAAATTATGTTTGTGTATTAAAGTTATTAGCTTTTCTTTTCTTTTCTTTTCTTATCTACTATCAGCATAAAACATCTGCACCAAACCCTGAGAATTGTTCACTGAAACCTATTGTGGAAAACAAAAAATGTGCAGGGGATATAGGTTGCTATCTTTGTTCAGATTCAAAATCTGGTGGATGATACCACGTTTTGGGAGATCTGCCAGTGATGTTCCAGTGGAAACTCAATTGCTGCTCCTGGAAGCCAAAGAAGAATCTGCGCTTGAGGATGAGCTTTCTTCTGACTGTGAAGAGGCAGCTACAGATAACACTTGCTACATTCTCTTCTTGCCTGTTTTGGATGGACAGTTTCGCGCAACTTTGCAAGGAACTCAGTCTAACACGCTCCAGTTTTGCATTGAAAGTGGTTAGTTCAGTTTTCTCCATTAGATTTTCTTCCTGTGCTAAAGAAGAAAAGAGAAAAGAATTAAACAAAAGTGTACTAGTTATTATCATCTTCAGATAAGCTATTTAAAAGTAATATGAGTGTTACTTTCGATTTTTTAATGCTGCAGGAGATGCCCATGTTCAAACTTCCCAATCACTAGAAGCAGTATTTGTAAATTCAGGGGACAATCCATTTGAGTTAATCAGGGATTCTATCCAGTATGCTTCTTGCTCTGGAATGTCCCTCTAACTGCTTCTTGTTTAAAAGTCAGGACACGTTAATTAATTTACAATGCATAGGATATTGGAGAAACACAAAGGGACTTTCTGTCATCTTGAAAACAAGAGGATTCCTGTACATCTTGACTGGTTTGGATGGTGCACTTGGGATGCTTTTTACACTGAAGTGAGTCCACAAGGAATAAAAGAGGGCCTTCAAAGGTAAACTACATACATACATACTACTCTGTCAACTAACTACACCTATTGATAGATGGCCTGCAAATTTTGAAGATATCAATGACATTGTCGATTTGCCTTTTAACGAACAGTTTCTCAAATGGAGGTTGTTCGCCAAAGTTTGTCATTATTGATGATGGATGGCAAGAGATCCTCAACACATTTCACAAAGAAGGCGAACCAGTGATCGAGGGAACCCAGTAAGTCTCTCTTTTGAGTTGAGACCATATATTTTCTCCTCCATTTCTTGGTCATCTGCTCACATCTTTTTTGAACTGTTAGGTTTGCAACCAGACTAACAGACATCAAAGAAAACAAAAAGTTCATCAATGTGGGCTCTGAGAATTCGTGCAGAAATCTCCACGACTTTGTTCACTCTATCAAAAATACTATGAACGTAAAGTAAGCTGTCCGATCACATAAAAATACCATACCATGACAACATTGAAACTTAAGAACTGACCATGACTAATTGTGCACTCTTCAGATACGTTTACATGTGGCATGCTTTAGCTGGTTACTGGGGAGGTGTACTCCCATCATCAGATACAATGAAGAAGTATAATCCAAAGCTTGCATATCCAATTCAGTCACCTGGTGCCACTGGGAACCTTAGAGATATAGCCATGGACAGCTTGGAAAAATATGGAGTGGGAATCATTGACCCAGAAAATGTAGATGACTTCTACAATGACTACCACAGTTACCTTGCCAGCTGTGGTGTGGATGGAGTCAAAGTAGATGTTCAAAATTTGACAGAAACTTTAGGTTCTGGGTACGGTGGTCGTGTTTCATTGACCAAACGGTATCAGGAAGCATTAGAGCATTCTGTAACAAGGAACTTCAAGGACAACAACCTCATTTGTTGCATGTCTCACAACTCTGATTCAATTTACAGGTTTGCATTCCATCTAGTTAAAGGCAAGTCCAATCCAAAATCTTGTTTGGATCCCTTTCTAACTAGTTGTTTATTTTAATTCTCAATTTTCAGTTCAAAGAAAAGTGCAACAGCAAGAGCATCTGAGGATTTCATGCCAAGAGAACCAACATTTCAAACCTTACTCATTGCCTCTGTCGTGTTTAACAGTCTTCTTCTGGGAGAGATATTTGTGCCAGACTGGGACATGTTCCATGTAATATTCCTGTCGCAATACTTGTCCAAATGTCTCATGTATGAACATGTTAATGAGTTGCTTGATATGGTTCATAAATCATTCTATTCCAGAGCAAGCACGAGACAGCGGAGTTTCATGCTGCAGCAAGAGCAATAGGCGGTTGTGCAATATATGTAAGGTAAGACTCCAAAGCAGAATGAAGTCTTCGTCCCCCTTCGAAAAACACTTTCTTAATCATTCAAAAGTTTGAAAAAAAATCCCGATACATTGCAGTGACAAACCTGGCAATCATGATTTTAAAATCCTCAAGAAGCTAGTTCAACCAAATGGATCAGTCTTGAGAGCAAGATTTGCTGGTCGTCCTACTCGAGATTGTTTATTTGAAGACCCCGTGATGGATGGTAAAAGGTAAGTTAACAGGTTACTATCTGTCTCTAAGAATGGCCACAATTTTCAGTTTCGTTTTTATTCTTCACTGAAACATTGAACACTCATCATCACTGACTATTTTGCAGTTTGCTGAAAATTTGGAATTTGAATGCACTCACCGGGGTGGTAGGCATCTTCAATTGCCAAGGAGCAGGAAGCTGGCCACTGAAATCATTGGAACCTGCACCCTTGCGCATAACCATTTCAGGGAAAGTGAGACCCCTTGATGTTGAATTTCTTGGAGAGGTTGCTGGAGAAAATTGGAATGGAAATTGCATAGTATATGCCTTCAATGCAGGTGAAAACTCTACTGCATTAACTTAGCAAATTTCATTTCCTTTTAGAACCTAAAGCACATCCATTCCTCTATAAATACCAAACCTATCTACTGTGCAATACTGTAGGCTTGCTTTCCATGGTATCTCTTAGAGGAAAACTTGAAGTTTCCCTGGAGACACTCCAATGTGAAATATATACAGTCTCTCCGATAAGGGTCAGTACTCAGTAGGCCTACTTTGCAATCTAAATTCTGTGAAAAATCATCTTTAACAAGTCTCTCATGGCAAAATTGTTCATGTGTGTCTAAACAGGTGTTTGGTCATGGTGTGCACTTTGCACCAATAGGATTGCTTGACATGTACAACTCGGGAGGAGCAGTAGAAGCCTTGGACTGCACCATGGATGTTGCACAGTGCATCATAAAAATCAAAGGCAGAGGATGTGGCCGTTTTGGAGCCTACTCCAACGCTAGACCAAAGCGTTGTGTCGTGGACATGAAGGAGGAGGAGTTCTCCTACAACCCTGACTATGGATTTTTGACGTTTAAACTTGATGGTGAAGGCAACTCAAGGGATATAGAATTTGTATACTCAGGTGACTCGATAAAGTCAAAGTGAATGTATTCCTATACTTCTTCAGAGCCATATTTTATATACCTAACCCCTGAAGTAATTTTATTGTTGTAAAAAAAAGGAGTTGCTTAATTTTGGTTTTAAAATAGATTTTGGTGTACAAAGCAATTATATATATATATATATATATATTTTTTTTTTTTAATTTTTATACATGTTTTTTTTTCATTAATCTTTCCTTAAATATTTTACTAATTTTGTTGACATGTAAGTGAATAATGATGTAAAAATTGATTGTTATATAATAATATACTGACATGACTAAATTTCACGTTACAGTTGAGATATTGAAGGAGCCATAAGTGTAATTAAGACATATCAATTTAAATATTATGTTAAAAATTTTAAATACTTTCTTCAATACTGATATAAAAAATATTATCATGTAAGTAAATTATTGTGTTATTTGGGAATATATTGTTTTCTCATCCAAAATTTCTTTATTTGTCATTTTACTTTTTTTTTACTATTTTTTTATTTTTTAAATAAAATGAGTATGTTTCTAGGTTTTATGTCTGATAATATCGTTAGAATTAATATTAATTTTTATGTTTAAGATATTATAATTTTATCCTAAAAAAATTAAAAAAAGTAAAATCTATATAAATTATCATAATCTCCTTCTCTTTTAAGAATACACTTGAGGATGAGAATGGATTCAAACCATCAATGATATTATCTTTAGATCTATAATGCATATGATGAAAGCGAGTGTGCGATTGTGCCGGAAAAAGGTCAGGGTATTGCATATTTTATAACTCCAATATCTGTTAGAGGATTATTATGTATCTTTTATCTTTCATATTTATACGCCATCTCTTTCAATCATTTGTGTTTGTTGTGATCTTCAATTTGTTGCTATACTTTTCTTCAATGTTTTATAAGCATGTGAATTCTTTGACTTCTGATTTTTTATTTTTACATTGTTATATATTTTTATATAGCTTAAATAAAGTTATATTTTGATGATATTTTGTCTTATAGATGTGGTACAAATATTTTTATAAAGAATTGAAGTTGTGGGGATGTGGAAATAAACCTTTGAGGTATTTCTTTTACAACTCAAACTCATATTACTTAAATTGAGTATCATAGAAAAATTAGAAAATGAATTTTAATAATAATAAATTGCATAGCATCTTCACCTTAATAGAAGAAATAATTTTTTAAAGGTTATTTCAAACAAATCTTAATAAAATCATTCTTAAATTATTTTGTCTAAATTGAGTTCT